TACCCAAGCAGAAGGAATATCATCTGATAAAACATATTCAGTAAGGAACAAGGTCTCGTCAGTAATTCTAGTGTCCAATTAATTAACGTGAAATGCATCGATGCACTACAGGAGCTGAAATATCAGGCGCTAGCACCTTGTTAAACGGTTTCCTCGATATCTGTGAGCAAGCGGGTGGTGCATGCCGTTACCAAAGGTTTGTTGCGCTGACTAACATACACTAGAAATATGAGCCCATACCCTTAACTGTTATGATTCAACAATTATGATTCTTGACTATGAAGGTCTCAACCCGTTTTGTCATGAGAATCTTTAGCACACAAGTCTCTGACTTACGCATTTTATGGTCCGCTTAGCTGAAAGTTGCTCTTGTGAATCATAGCATGTACTTAATGCACGCAGTAAGCAAGTTCTACTGCTTCAGTACAACTATCAAGTTTTTAGTAGAAAGCTCTTGCCTAAATAGACGGTTCGTTTGCTGTCATGTTAATAATAGTGTCATAATAATGTGCGAAACTATATGCCAGTGGTTGTTTAGCACATAAACAGAAAGTTTGTTTCCTAATGAAACTGTGACAAAAAAAATTCGTCCATATTTGTATTTGCATTTCGCACGACTTCGGAGATTTTCGATAGTAGAGTTTTCATAAATTCATGTTAGCCCCTTACAAATGTTAGGAATCAAACGTTGTTACCCTTTATCGTTTTAACCATTGTGTCACATTATGAATAATCGTTTCTTCAGTTAGAAACTTAGAAGTTTCCTCGTATAATTCATATCACAATATCAGTATGGATAATGAAAGTACATGAGGATATATTGCAGAAACTGTTACCTCCGAAATTGAATATTGTGATTGAAAACGTTGAGTTACATATTATGAAACGTACTGTGTACCTGGACAGTAGGTTATTAGTATTGTTGTGGTTGAAATGGAGCACAGAACCAAGTTCAAAGCGCATGTAGGTCGAAACTGTCGTACCGATCTACCTTAAGCTTTATATTTTCATCAATCTGTACCCAAAAGTGCCTGCGACCGTGGTAGGAAGTTAGTAAAATCGAAAATAGATATATTTCAGCTTAGAAGCTTGACGACTTTGTGTTCGATATCTAATTTTCCTGTCTCTTACCATAGTCGATTATCTTCATTCCTGTCCGTTTGCCTACATCATTCTTCCAACTTCTCGTAGATCTTCTCTTCGATTCAGTACCAAGGTTTTTTGTCATAGTCATTTAGCATAAAGATAATCTATTATTTTCCATAAAGTCCTCATTTCGTTGTATCAGGAAGATAGGAATCAAATTTGCATAACGATTTAGCGCTAAACACAGACTATGAAATTAAAACAGAAAGTCTCTGACAAGTTGGAAGGAGTGGGTTTAACACAAGAATCATGTCATGTCTTCCGTGCTGAGGAACTTCGACATCGATGTGCCAAGTTTGTGCAGCAGTTGTTGTCGTATTTCCTGCGTGTTCACTGCTGAGCGACTTCGAAGGATGCTGTTCTTTCATCCACAAAATATTTTTCAGGTGTTTTGTTCTTCTTGCGTCGTCGTCGTCGTCCGATCAGAAGGTAGATGGCACAGGGCAAAGATCTCACAGTTCTTCTTTTACGAAATCTTTACGAGTGGTATCTCCTAATCGTTCCGTCCAGGTTTTGAGGTAGAATTAACAAATTTTCTTCAGACGCATAAGTATCTGTCAACCCTCAGCGCCTTTATTTTAATTTTCCGTTATTTCGTTACTCTAACGCTTTAAGGTGCAGGGCAATTATTCAAATCTGAAAGCCTTCAGTTGTACTCTGTCCAAGCTATATTCATTATCGTAATCGTTGCCCGTGATGAGTATACCTAGGCTAGGTCTGTTGAGAATCTTTGAGCCTTTACAAAATATTAATGGTAATAAATGTATTCCTCTGTTTGAAGCGATCACGGCGTCATACGTCGTTCCGCGTTACGTGTCAGTGCCGATCTTCACGTTTCCTCCTGTCGTTCCTCCAGCGCTGTCTGCCATTTCCATCTGCCTAAGTTATGAATTGCTATACTCGATTATTTGATGAAAAGTTTAATCCAGCCCATTTCATTTTCTATGGTGCTTTCTGCAGTGATATTTTTCGTCGTGATTTGTTATCAAATATCTGCACTGTGAATATGATCGCAGGGTGAAACTCCCAAAATTCTTCTTTCCACGGTTCTTACCTTTTTCGGTAACGGATGGATGGAGTTTCTCCCTTTTATGCTTCTCCTTTTAGCAGCCATGTTTTATGGCCATACAGTATCATCGTTGATAAGATTGTGTTGAAGTAGCGGAACTTGCGTTAATCTGTCGGTTTTTTGAATGGGATATCCTTGATGGAGTTGAATGACCCTGTTTTCTTTCTGTGCCAGATTTTGGCTTCCTCATCGCCTCACATGTTGGCTTCCTAATCCAAACAGGTTTATCTTTGTTATATGCCC